TCATTGATCCTCACAGGAGGGAATGATGTAAGGGCCTCATCCTTAGCTTTGCTTGGGCTTCCCCACCAAACCTGCATAAGTCTCAAAACTGATACTGTGGCTTCCTGAAGAGGCTGCTGCTGTTTTGCCTGTCACATGTGAGCACTTGATCTCTCACAAGGCTCACCTTTTTCCAGGTACTGTGCAGGATTTGAGGACGCAGCACAGTTGTCAGTAGGGTAAATACACACAAGCCAGAAAATGATGAAATAATGAGAGGACACTCATGTCTATTCCTCAGCATGTACCATCCATCAAAACTCTCTTCTCTGCCTTTTCAAGTCAGTACTTACCAGCAGATGGTCCACAGGCAGGTGAGCAAGCTCCACTCCATATCAGAAGTTCCCTGTGACCCTAAACTCAAGCCGAACCAATTAGCCACTCCAACAAGGTTCTGTTTGACAAGCATTTGCTCTGTGCCTGCCACCCCAAAGAGAAGCCAGGCAGCATGGAACCAGGTCTAAAACAGGAAGATGAAGATGACTCCTCTAGGGCTCACAACAGTAGCTGACCCTAACCTGAGGATTGACTGGCTTTGAAGAATGGGCACACTCACAGGAGGTCAGAAGAGGCAAGGCATAGCTGAGCTACTTAGAGCCTGGCCAGGGCTTCCCAGAGACAAAAGGGCATGGCTCCATAACAGTACCCTCATATTTGAAGCTATTCCCCCTCAGTTCTGACTGCATCAAGGAACAGGACTCACTGTGGTGCCCCATGTAGTTTCCATTCCTAACACAGGGAGACCAGACCACTTCTGCAGAGGCTGGAAAAGGATAAATACAGCTAGAATTCAATAATGCTATTGTGTCAATGTGTTTATTTTCAGTTCCTTTCTGTTTGGGCAGATAATTGATTTTCTGTTTACAGAAGGGCATTATGCTTTTGTTTCATGTTATTGGGCTAAGACTAAAAGTCAGCTGATTTAAAGAGAAAATATGAAATAAAATAGGTAAGAGGTGCATGCTTATGACCAAAACAATGCAGAAAACATGCAGATAGAAAGTAGGGATGTCAGAAGAAACAGGCCTCTGATGGACTGAAGAGTCAGAAACACCAGGGTGAGTCCATTATCCAAGGCAGTGAACCATGAGAGGCAGGTTCTAGGAGGAAAGAGAACAGCTCGTGACAGAAGCCCGGGCACACGTGATGTGGTAGTAGAAGATGAGGCTAGAAAAGCAAACTGATGCCAAGCCCAAGAGAACCTTGAGGCTGAGCAGGGGTGTCTGGACTTTCACCTGCAACCATGGTACCCACTAGGTCTCCAGCCCACTTGTCTGTCCCCAAAACTGGACTGGCCTGGGGGAGAAGCAGAGATAAATTTGGGGTGCATACAGAATCTGAGGAGAGGCCAAGGAAGCAACTAGATCAGTTTCAGCACTGCTGACCACAGTCAGGCCTTGAGAAGGAGGATGTGGCTTATTACAAAATTCTGTACCTCTGGGTGGCTCCACCAGGGTGGTGAATGGAACAAAGCAAGATACAACACAGCTAACTTGGGAGGCAGGTGTCAGTCCAAGCAGGCCTCTGCAATAGATAACTTACCACCATATATGGAGCGAAATCTTCTAAGGGAAAAAAGAAAAAAAAAAGATTGGAATAGGATTCAAGGAAAAAAGACCTAAAGATAGCCTAAACAAAACGTACTCAGTCCCAATGGCTGCCTCACTGTCTGCTGGCCATATGGTGTGTGATAAGCCAGAACACTTTTATTTATCTTCCATGACTTGTCTATGAAGCTGAGAGCCAGCGCTTGTAGTAGACTGCCTCATGCTCTTCAACCCTGACTCACATCTCCCAGTCTCCAGTCCCTACTCTGGGAGGTAGCTGGCTGCAAGTTCCCTTCCCCCTGCTGATGGCCTCGGCCCCCACTCAAGCCACAGCTCACAGCTGTTTTCCCACAACCAGCAAAGCACAGGACATCCCTGTGCACTCCCTGCCCTGCTGAGCCACACTGTGGACAGCTAACTAACTTGTCAGCATTCGCCTATGTTCATACTAGCTACCATTCACCCATGCTCATACTAGCTACCATTCACCCAGGTCCTTAGCTATGGCCCTGATAACTAGTAGGAAAATCTTTCCTCATGGCTGTAAGGTACTGGCCACTCTAGGCATTCCATAATAGCAATATTCTTCCTTCTTTCCTTCCTTCCTTTTTATCCTTCCCTCCCTCCCTCTCTCCTTCCTTTCTTCCTTCCTTTTTTTCTTTCCTTCTATATTTTTAGTGGTAGTAGGAACTGAACTCAGGGCATTTCCACTGAGCTACATCTCTAGCCTCTTTTTTATATTTTTATTGAGACAGGTTCTTGCTATGTCATTAAGTTACCCAGGCTGGGCATGAACTTACCATCCTCCTGCCTTGGGCTCCCAAAGTACTGAGCTCACAGGTATGTGCCACCAGGCTAGGCTCTTGAACCATAAAGGCCTCAGAGTTATGTTTCTTCCTAGTTCATCCCACCACCCCCACCTCTTACATGAGAATCACTCTAGGCCCCAGTTCTCTAAAGTAGGCCTGCCTCCCTTCTCTCCCTAAATGTACAGGAACTCTGTTCTCAGCCTTAGTCTCTTCTTGCCACCATCTTCATCTCCCTTCTGGGCAGGCAGGTTTTGACTGAGTGAAGAAGGGCCACATGGGGTGGAAGAAAATTACTACAGTTGAATTTGCCAATAGGATGCCAAGTTAAGTGTAAATTTCAGATAAACAACACATTTTTCCTTTGGGATATACCACAGTCCCCTCTTGTCCACAGAATATATTCATATTTCAAGGGTATGTGAAAACACAGTGAGTACCAAACCTTATGTTTTTTCTTATATAAATATACCTATGGTAAGGTTTAATTCATAAACTAGGCACAGACCAACAATATACTATAGTAAAATTTAGTTAAAATGTACAATTTATGAAGTGTTTTTGTTTGTTTGGGGTAGGGTTTTTGTTGGTTGTTTGGTTTTCTGAAACAGGGTCTTGCTAAGTTCTAGGCTGGGGTCCAAATTGTGATCCTTCTGCCTCAGCCTCCTATAGTACTGGGATCACATGTGTGCCCTATCATACCCAGCTTGAAATGTTATTTCTGGAATTTTCCATCTCATACTTTCAGAACTCAGTTGACCTTGAGTAACTGAATCCTCGGAAAGCAAAACCATGAGCAAAGGGGACCTACTGTACTTATTCTAAAGAAAAGCATTCAATGTTTATCTGAAATCTGGATTTAAGTAGGGGTCCTATATTTTCATTTGGTAAATCTGGCAACCCAAGATAAAGGGAAGTGGCAAGATACCTCCCAGGAAGTCCTGCTTTACCCCAACAGCCCTCAGCGGCCACCACAAAAACAGCCCTACCTCAGCCCATCCTTCCCCTCTGCTGTTCCCTGAGTACACTCTGCAAAGGCCCACAGGCTCTCTACGGCCCCACCTTGCAAGAGGGACTCGGGTAACTATGGACAAAGGACAAAAAGTTGCAGAAAGTCCAAAGGGAAGCAGGCTGGGTGGAACAGATCTAGCACAAGGAAGCACAAGAGAAGACGCCCTGTGCTCTGCAAGTGAGAAGATACCACAGTCACTCAAAGGCCTGGCAGTGATTGCACATGAGCCTGTCCCGAGCAGCCTCACACCTCCCAAGGGCACCCAAAAGCCAGTGGAATTTGAGACCAACAGGAGCAGGGGTTGGTGGGCTTAACACGAGCATGGACAGCTTTAAAAATGGCCAGCCCCTCAAGCCCCAGGTCAGCTGGTCTGGGCAGGCCCCAACATGAGTTCTGGCAGATGACACAGCCCAGCCCCTCTGAAAAGCATCTCAAGGGCACACAAGCTCTGGGCCAGCCAAGTGCCACAGATGTAGGGGCATTTTCCTACATACAGCCCAGAAACATCTACAAGCAGCTGTCGTTCCCCTGCTCAGGCACCAAAACAGCAACAATAGAAAGATATTTCATCTCTAAACTACAGATTATTTTAATTATTGGCTACAAATCCAATGGTTAATAGTATTAGGTTAAACAAATAAAACTGCCATTTTTGTAAATAAAAAATGTTAAAATATTGGCAATTATGTACAGGCCAACCAAGGAATAATATTATTGAGTCCCTGCTATTTATGAGACACTGTGCAAGGTCTTTTAAGCATATTCATCATGCAGTGTTTGATTCTTATGATCACTTTCAAGGAAGGTATTACTGTGTACATTTCAGAGAAACAGAGACAGAGACACAAAGACATTACAGTGGTCATCCAGCTGGATACATACCAGGTCTCTGTGGCTTAAAACCCATCATTCCACCCTTCTACCTCCTTGCTCTCTGGCCCTGCCAGCTGGTCAGTGCCTGACCATTCCTGCAGCAGCAGTGATTGCCAGGACTCCCACTCTGCACAGAGGCCACTCTGTAGCTAATCTGAGCATGGCCTCCCGAATTAGCAGTAAAGTATGTTAAACAATTTCAAGAGGAAAAAAGCATTTGAAGGCTTAATATTTAGAGTAAGAAGGGAAAGAGGCCTCCTGAAATAAACAAAGTAATCAAGCAAGGAAAATCTAGTCTAACCAGTTTTTAAATGCCTTAACTCTGATTATGAGCTAACATGTAGTGCACCACTGACAAAGAGATCAGGTACAGTGTGATCCAGCATCACGGCAGACCCAGACGCATGTGTTTCTGAGGTGCTTCTCTCAGAAGACTACTGAGCTTCATAGAGAGGAAAGACTAAGAAACCTCTCAAAAATACAAGTCAAAGCCAGGAAGCATCACTGGTGAACTGGCCCCCGGAAGCTGAGACCCACACAATAAGATAAATAAAAGTGCTGTCAGACCCCAACTTTAAAAGAAGAAGAAATGGATATTTTCTTCCTTGTGAAATAGAATTTGAGAAGTCAGAGTATATGTAACGCACAGTAAAAGCAGCTTCCACTAATTCCAAATGAACATGCATAGAGATCAGAATATGAGGATAAAAAGAGGGGACCGACCTTCACGTGGGCCACGTAGTGATGACACAGCTCCTCCATGTGGGCCAGCTGCAGCTTCTCCAAGACCTGGCCAACAGTCTCTCCCAGCAACACAAAGTAGACCCTAGGCAGCTGGCCCTTCTCCTTTTTGGCCACATCAGCTGTAAGAACGTAGTTCAGGCCTGCCAAGAAATGAGGTCAGGACGTCAGCAAAAACAGATACACAGTGGCAAGGCCAGCTCTGCTCCCCCCACCACAGGGTACTCAGTCCTCTACCCCAGAGGTTGGCAGCCCTGGGTCAAGATCTCCTCAGATGGGAGCATGCAGCCACAGGCTCACAGAACTGAGAGAACCAGGATAACCCCTGCCTTTCCAAGGATGCTGTGTGTGCCATCTCTCCTGGCTCTCCCTGACTTAAAGCTCTATGCTAGCTTGAGGTACCAATGAAGCCACCAACATGATCACCAACAATTATTTGTACCAACACAGGCTAGTACTTAGACAAATAAGTGTCATGGCAAACAATGTTCTAAAAGCTGAAGTGATAAGGGTGCCACGTGGTATTGACTCCTATCAAACATGGCTATATACATCCAACATAGAGGAGCAATCACTTCTGACAATTCTACATCATCTCACTAATGCCAAGTTGAGGTCCAGGTTTACTGAGCACCAACAGTATGCCAAGCACCACTGTAGCCACACAGGGAGATAGTAACAAACAACATGGGCAAAAACCCGCTTTCACAGATCCAGGCTCTCAGAAGGCTGGGCCAACTCCATTCCCAGGGAGCTATGCATGGTGATCAAATACTATGTGATGCCTGTTCTTCTAACAAAACCATGGCCATGTGACTGAAGTCCACTTCCAAGAAGAAAATCCCACGAGGGATTTAGGTCAGTGGTTTCACCGCCTGCTGTGCAAGCACAAGGACCTGAGTTCGATCCCTGGTATGAGAGAGAGAGAGAGAGAGAGAGAGAGAGAGAGAGAGAGAGAGAGAGAGAATCCCATTGCCTGAACATGTGATATCAAATGACAGAACTGATGGGACACCATCTGGGACTTTAAAAATTGATGGTTTCAATGTCAAATGCATCCTGGAAAAGCTTCATCTCCAGTATTTCAGAGTTTGTTAAGTAGATATATAACAATATATTTTTATTAGGTACATATAAATCGATTGAGTCAGTGGTACTGGGGATTGAACCCAGGACCTTCACACTGAGCTACATTTCCATTCCTTTTTATTATTTTTTTAAATTTTGAGACAAGGTTGCCCTCAGTGGCCCAGTCTGGGCTCTAACTTTTGATCCTCAGTCTCCCAGAGTACTGGGACTGTAGGCATGCACCACCACACCAGGCTTAAATGTGACTTTAGCATCAATAGATCCATTTCACTGCTTTTCTACGCCAGAGACCAGCCCTCTGTAACCCTTTTTATTTATTAACTTTTTTGTGGATTTAGAGAATGTGGCATTTTTACAGTGAGAGAACAGGAACCTCTGCCCTAAAATGACTAGATGAGATAGCTGAGCAGGAGGAAAGAGGAGGATGCTGCTCCCACTCATCTCCACACACCTGCCCCTTTGAAGCCAACATCTCTGTACCAATAGAAACAGCCTTATGCCTGCCGGCATTTCACTATGTGAAGTCTGGCAGCAAGGATGGCTCTGGCTTTCAACAACATCAAAAGGACCAAACCCAGGGAGGTCTGGACAGGGAGAGAGAAAGGTGACACGGACAGTCCTCCTGCAATTGTTCCTGGACATCTTTCTGCTGCGTCTACTAGCTTCCCTGAGCCACTGCCATACCAGGGCTCTTGCCAAACAGAGCTGGCAGATTCCTGACCAGGGAGGGAAAATCTGCCCCAGCTTGTTTATTCCAGCAACAGCTGATTTCCAAGGCAAGGCTGGTTTACCAGGAAGGATGAGGGTCATGGATAATCCCAGGAGATAGCATTACTCTGAAGAAGAGAAAAATAATACAGGAAAGCATATGGGAAAGTGCTTCAACAGAGAAAACACGTGTGTCTACAGAAGTGTTACACGTCACCCCAGTAGGGTAGAAGTGGAATGGACTTGCAGCTGTCAAAGCTTTAAGGTAATCCTAGAGGCCATCTAGCCCAAATCTTTCGTTTTTGAGATAAGGGGACTGGAATCCCAAAAGGGAAAAGACTTGGTCCAGGCCAGAAAGCCATCCACTACAGAGCCTTTGCTACTCCCCCCTATAGGGCTACTGCCACCACAATGGTCTTGATCATTTTTTTACCTTAACTGACGTAACACTCCTATTTTTTGAATGTAGAAATAACAGAACCAAACACATGCAGAGATTCAGAATGGAACTCTGGTCAATTTACTTTCTATTGACCACAACTTCCCTGAACAACAGCCCAAGACTAACAAAGGCTACATTTAAATGAAGTGAGTTACCAGAGCCCCTGCAAGCAAGATCATAGCTGGAGATGCACCTTGCAAGGAGACAAGCTAGAGGGTACTAGCTGGGTAAACTGGTGCTGGAGTGGCAGCTGCTGGGCAGCCTCTTCTTGGAGGCTCCTGTCCAGCCCTCCTCTCAGATGAAAGGACCATAGCTACCATCCCTCAGAAATGGTGACAATGGAGGGAACAGCAGAACCAAGCTGTCTTGCCAGAGAGGAGCTGGCTGAGCTTGGAGAAGATCTGGGTGGATGGGAACACAGGAAAAAAGAGAGGATGGTATCAGTCTTCCACCCACATCCTCTTGGCCTTTACCATTTCTCTACTGCCAGCACCTGCAGTCCTTTTCGCGAGGACTTTCTCCAGTAGCTCTGCCCTGTATGTGCATAGTGAACCACAGTGCCAGGGAACCCAAGTCCCTGATCAACTTTTCATAAGGCGGGCACCCACTCCCTCCACCTTGGGGTGGCATAAGCTCTGAGGTACCTTCTGTGCTGACTCCCAGGCTTCCCCAGCAGGTCTGAGTTCCAGCTGCCCACAGTGGTAACCGCTCAGTAACACACCCTCTATCAGGCTGCCAGGATGGCTAATTTTATGTGTCAACTTGGCTGGGCCCAAGTATCCAGATATTTGGTCAAACACCAACCTAGGTGTTATTATATTTTTCAAATGAGATTAACATTTAAATCAGTAGACTGAATAAAGCAAATTACCCTCCATCCTGGGAGTGGGCCTCATCCAATCATTTGAAGATCTTAAGGGGGAAAATCCCTATGGTTCCCTCCAAAAAGTAAGAATTTTGCTTCTAGCCTGCCTTCAGACTTGAGCTGCAACTTCAACTCTTCCCTGGGTCTCCAGCCTACCGGCCTGCCCTGCAGAATTCAGGCTTTGCCAGGCCCTATAATCTCATAAGCCAATTTCCTAAAATCAACCAAATGATATTCATTCATACTCCCACCACCCTGTTCTCTCTGGAAAATAACAATTACTATAGCTGCCTACCCTTGCTATCTCACTGCCCTCAAATTAACCCAAGGCAAGTCAGAAAAAGAGAACTCAGCCCTCAACTTGTGCCCAGCACTGGGCTGTGTACTCTATAAGCGCCATCTTTAGTCCTCACAGCCCATTCACTGCAGAACCACTGACACAAAAATTCCCCCGTGCGACTCAAAGGAGGAAGAAAGAGGCTGAGGCTCACAGAAGTTGAGCCAAGGACGAGGCAGCTGTAGTCGGCTACAGGCAGGGTGTGTGGATGCCAGCACACTCACCTGTCAGATTTTTAAAATGCGAAGATACACAATCACAGACAGACTAAATTATCCAAGTCACTAAAGACAATCATTGTGGAAGCATTTCATCTCTAGAACTATCTACTTAGTGATCTTCCTTGACCTAAAATTTATTTTGACATGTTAAATTACCCAAAAAAGAAGTCCGTTCTATATTGAACACTCTCTCCTAGAAAAAAGCAAGATTCGAGACCCTGCCTGAATGAAGAGGATCTCATAGCTGCCAGAGGTAAGAAATACAGACCATTCTGATGCACTGAGCTCCAATGGTAGCTTTAAACAGCACCCACCCATGTCCCCAAGCATGTTGGGAAAGAGCTCCTAGAAAGCGGAGGCCTTAGCAGTAAAACAGTCAGTTGGCTTGCTTGATCCGGGAGGGGTCCCCTCAGTCTTGCCCAGTTATTCAGCCACCCCTAATGCAAGCCAGCCCAGCCAGCCCCTGTCTGGGTGAGGGTGCTGGTTCTGATTAGGGCTTGCTTCCACAGCACATTTCACATCTTCAGGTTTTCCCTTCTCGCAGCTTGTGTCCATGCCATGTTGAATGATGTCATGTTGATGGAAAAGCTGATCAGCCCTAAGTAATGCTTTCAGCCGCTTCCTTTCCCTGCCCCCAGCTGGTTCCCAAGGGGGCCCCCACACCAGCCTGGGCCAGGAGGGGACCAGCTGTCTTGCATCAACTCTGGCTCTGGCCCCTCCCAGTCAGTTCTGAATCACTCCCATTTTCCATCAGAACAAGATTTCAGCTGTGAAATTCTACTATCAAATTCTCCTTCCAGAGTTACTCTGATCTTCCCAGTAGTGGGGTAAAAAAAAAAGTATTTCCACTTTACTAGCTTTCATAACATTCTCCCCAAGGAATGAGGTATTAATTACTAGACTAGGTTACCTTTTTCCTCATGTAACATGGATTTCCTTTATTATCCTGCCTCCATGCCTCTCAAAGAACCAGAAGGAGCTCAGAGAACACAAACAGAAATGCACCTCTAACAGCAGAAAAGGGACCTGAAGACAAGTTGCCTTGCTTCAACCCTATTTCTGCTATTGGTATGGATGGCCTTGGTGCTTGCTGGCTCTCAGGACCTGGCGTCAACAGCTTGTCCAGAGGTAGGGTAGGCATCTCTTCTTGCGCACATCTTTGTCAGGAAACACAGGCACCCATCAAACCTTCCTGGTTTTCATTTAGCACTCTGTTGAGAGTCCAGATTGCCAGCCTTATTTCCACCCTCCAGAGAGGGACACACAAACTTAGGCTTCAGTCTGGCCAGCGAGGAGATATAAGCACACCCCATGTGTAAGGGGAGAGCCCCCATATGCCAGAGGAGGCCCTGAGAGGCCCCTGGCAGCTTCCCAGGCCAAGGATAAAGTGATTAATGATACTCTTTGGGACAGGTAGGACTCTTATTTTAAACTGCTTAAACATGTTATAAGCCTGCTGTTAGGGAGCCCACTGTCAGAGTGAGGAATCTGTGTCTGCTCCCTAGCACTCAGCACACAGTGCCTGCGCCACCAAGGGCCTTAGTTCATGTCTACAAGAGCAAGCCAGGGAGCCCCCCTCCCACTAGAATGCAAGTTCTGTGCTCTGTGCCCCTGGCTAAGCAGAGTGCCTGGCACTCTGTAAGACTTCATAACTATTTGTTGATTGAAGAACCCAAAATAACATGGATCTGTCTCATTATCCCATTTCCATGCTTCTCAGGAGACCAAAAGCAGCTCAGAAAATTTTCTCTCCATGCAAACACTCTAGTAGAAATGCATTCCAAATGCTTCAGTGGCCCAGTGTGACTGGATGCTTGCTGTGCTGGTTTACGAAGCTGTTGTCTCTCAGGTCCAAACCTACCTTTCTCTACTTGCTATGATGCTGGGGTGTGTGCCAGTCAATCCTGATTGTCAACTGACTTTATTAAGAGAGTCATGAAAAGGTGATTGGATTATGAGAGCACTAATCTCATCAATGGGTTAACCCATTAAAGAGTTTAGACATGAATGGGCTCTTAGGAGGTATGGCCTAGTTGAAGGAAGTAGGTCATGGGGCCCACTTGGGAACTATATTTTGGCCCTGACCCCTTCCTCTCTGGCGTCTTCCCTTGCTCTCTGCTTCCCAAATGCCATGAGGTGAGCAGTTTTCTTCTACCATGCCCTCTGCTGTGAGGTTTCTGCCTTGGAGTCAGCCAACTATGGATTAAAACCTGTGAAAATATGAGTCAAATCAACCTCTCTCTTTTAAATTGTAGATGTCAGATATTTTGTTCCAGCATCAGGAAAGCTGGCTAATACAGGCTGGGCCCCCAAGGACCTACCTCTTTTCTGTTTTGCCAATGGCTCCCTATGAGCCTTTGCAAATATGGAGAGCTTAGGGGAGACTGTGAGGCTGAAGGAGAAGATCCTTGCTCCTTCCTGGCAGCTTCCTATTCCTATCTGCTTACCCAGCAGCAGTTTTTTCATGGCAGCTGGTCCCAACAACAATTAATTCCAATTTCTTGTTTTCTTCCCTCACCCCCCCAAATCAGCCTCATTGCACTCCCCTCAGAGTGACCAGCAGCCCCAGCCAGTGCTCTCTGCTCAGAGGCTTCAGTCTCAGCTCCACAGGACCCTTTCTCCAAACCTACAGGTTCTAATAACTCCAAGGAATTGATTAACCCCAAGTATAACCCTGACCAGTGGGTCTCAAATCTAGGCCCCCTGGCGGCTCATTAAAACACAGTTTTTGGTGCCCCATCCTTGCTCCGTCTGGAGCAAGGGCCATCCCAATCCTGCACAACCACTAGGCTACTTGTGTGCTGAACTCTAGGACACCCACCAACAGTCAGGCTATTCAGCTCCTGCCAAGCTGCTTTTTCCCTTCCCCTCATTTCCCTAACAGTCATCCACCTTTTCCTCCCCAGACTCTCCATTACACTGCCAGCTTACTTTCATGCCTCATGCATGCTAAGCACACTCTCTACCACCAAGCTATACCCAGCCCCAACTTGATTCTTAAATGTGGGGAAAGATTCCCTTTGAGTATAAAGGAACATTTGATTTCATCAATGAAACCCTGTGGCAGATGGATGACAAGGAAGTAACCTAAATGGTAGGTGCATACCCTGGCAGAACAGTTTTCCCCCAGCTTTGGACATTAGGCAGGTTGTTCACATTGCCCACAAAGGTACATGACATCCAACAGCCTTTCTCTTCCATCACTTCAAAGTTCATACCTGAGCCCAGGCCTTCATCTAATTCTGCCTAGTGGTCACTGAAAGGCCAACACCTGGCCGGGCCCCAGGAAGGCCCACTGGCTGGAAATCAAAAGAGGCCCCTGTATCTCTTCACTCAACTCAAGAATACTCACATCAGTGGGTTCTACCACTTATCTCAAGCTCCCAAACCACTCCTGACCAGACTTGCATCTAAGTTTATTCTCCATCCCTGTTACCAGTTTATCGTCATTTTTTAACACAACAGTGACCAAGAGTCTGAAGGCTGTACCTACTGATTTAAGATCAAAACAGTAAGCTTGACGTGGTAGTGCATGCCTATGATCCTAGCACTCTAGGAGGCTGAGGCAGGAGAATCACAAATTCAAACACTGTCAGGGCTGGGGATTTAGCTCAGTGGTTCTGCCACCTGCCTCACAAGTGGAAGAACCCGAGTTCGATCCCCAGTACCAAAAAAAAAAAAAAAAAAGCTTTAAATTAAAAATGGGCCAGGGATTTAGCTCAGTGGTTTCACTGCCTGCTACGCAAGCACAAGGACCTGAGTTTGATCCCAGTACAAAAAAAAAAAAAAACACTGTCTAGGCAACTTAGTGACTTACCAAGACCCCCTCAAAAATTCAAAAAGGGTTGGTACTATGGCGCACTGTCATGGCCCTAGGTTCAATTCCCAAAAAATCAAAAGAGTAGACATTCTTTGTAACTCTCTTTAAAAATTCTACGAGGGCAGAACTGACATTTCCAGTACCTAGCACATGAAGATACACAAATATTTCTCAAATTAACACACATGTGAACTATTAACTGTTTGCTTTTTAGTGTTCTAGAATAATTTATGTGCACCAAAATGAATATCCAAAGGCTGGAGGTGTAGCTCAGTGGTATACCACAGTGGTAGACACATTTAGCATGGGCAAGTCCCTGGGTTTGATCCCCAGCACCAAAATAAAAAGAATCTTTAATCATTCTGTGAAAATGTTTGTCAATGGATTCCAACTACATCATGAGCTGGTATTTGATAAAAAGACATATGAGTCCCAGGACCATCAGAAACCCTTTTTCCTTAAGACTGTGATGTCCTACATAATGAGGGAGATGATGAGAAATAGTTGTTGGAAAATATAACTTTCAAGTCAAAACAAAGCATCTATCAATCTGCACAACGCTCCAGATTCATGTCCTTCAAGTACTTTTGTGCTATGAGTTCTAATCAACACTGACCCTATCTTGTTCTGTGGATTACTCCAGTCTCTGGAGGTGAGATACCAAGTGGGCCTTCCCCAGAGAAATAGCAGGGACAGCTACCTCCTGCCTCTTTTTAATTCTCCTGAGCTCCCAAAGCGGAGCTCCCTTTTTTTGAAAACCCAAGCTTGTGAAAACTCTGCATCCTGATCCCACAGTAAAGTTCAAGGGGACCCTCTAAAGTCCCATCACTTCATTTCTTAACTGCATGGAGCATTCCATTAGGATTGGGCTCCAAGCATGACATTTCCACCAGTCCAACAACCCATCCTAACCCTGGTCCAGTGAGTTTCAGTTTTGTTCACATACATTTGAGGAAAGGATGCTTGGGGTGCAACATTATCTCTCCTAGAGCTCAAGGATGTGTGAAACTGGGTACATGCAGATGAACAGGAAAGAGAAGGGAGGAACCTCAGAGGGAAGGGTGCCCAGCCCATGGACAAAGCCAGCTGGGATACATAGTAGAGGGAACTCCAACACATCCCCAGCTGTCCACCACCCTGCAATCCTACTCCAGCTAAGATGGGTATCCTGAGCCCTGACTTGGTGACTCATTACCGATTTCTCCTGGAACATGTTTGCCATGGAACCTAAAGCAGACAGTGACATTCAGGCAGTTTATAGGCTGCTGTCCATCATGACACTGAGGTGCTGTGATGTTGATGGAGGCTGGGAGGAAGATGGAGACATCCACCGTAATGACAGCTCTGGCCCTGTAGGGTAAAAGCAGAAGATGACTCAGTCATGTTAAGGAGCAACTCTTAAAATCAACAAGAACAATACAGACAGGAAAAAATCCTAGGCCTTTGGCCAACATTTAAATAAAGTATGAAATAAACCAAGAGAAAAGGGCTACTGTGCTCTATATGTTCTTTTTATGGTTTTAAAAGTAGCACATTTCCTAATAAATGAATAGTTAGCTTCCCAATGATAAAAGCAAGTTAGCTGTTAAGAAGACATATCTAAGGGCCAGGGATTTAGCTCAGTGGTTTCACCGCCTGCCTCACAAGCGCAAGGACCTGAGTTCGATCCCTGGTACCAAAAAAAAAAAACCAAAAAAAAATGAAGACATATCTAGTTGAAGCCATAAGTGAATTAGCAGATGCTGGGAAATTATTTAAAATTTCACCAGGGCCGGGGATTTAGCTCAGTGGTGCTGCACCTGCCTTGCAAGCACAAGATCCTGGGTTTGATCCCCAATACAAAAAAAAAATTAAATAAAATAAAATTTCACCAAATAAGTTCTGATTTCCATTTTATCAGGAAGCTATGAATGCATTTAGGAGGAGTTAATACAACAGAAGCCATGATTCTATAACTACATTTCACTCATATATCCCCCAAAACATTCACTGCCATTATAGGGATGAATTGCAAAGTTCTCATCAGGTTGGACAAATCTCCACTTCATTTGCCTCTATCAATTCATTGAGTATTTTTCCTAAAATGACTTGATTCATGGAGTTCCAGCTGCTAAGAGCAAAGTACTTCAAGAGCAAAAGAAATCAACCTGCCTGGCCTCAGGACCAAGTGAAACCCAAGAAGCATTCACACTCCTTTAGCTGACACAGACCACTCCCCAGTTCTTGATGGATGGACAGCATCCAGGGACTCCCCTGGGGCAGTCAGACAAATGCTGAGAGTGAATCACCCCATTCTGTATTCACTGCAAACATCTGCTCAGGAAGATTCCACCTAGGCTGCAGCTTAACCTTCTCCCCCCAGGCCTCACAAAAAGACCCTTTGACCTCCAAGGAGCCCCAGACTTTATGGTGCCACTGCCAGGGCTGGCATAACAAGATTAAGGAGCATTAGTGGCTTGGGAACAATGACCTCACTTGTGTACAATGGTCCCTCAAAAGTGCAGAAGGTGACAAGGCAGATGAGAATAGTGACCAACCACTCCAAAAGAAAAAGGCATTAAGGAAAAGCTAGTGTGAAAAGGAAATGAAGAGACAATCAGCACGGATGAACTAAGGGGAAATCCACTGCTGCCACCACTTCTGGACAGGAGGGTCAACAGAGGGGCAGGGAAGTGGAACTGTGAAGCTGACTGTAGGGCAAAAGGAAATCAGACAACAATGGTGCCTAAAAGAAACCAACATTGGGCTGGGGATTTAGCTCAGTGGTTCCGCCGCCTGCCTCACAAGCACAAGGACCCGAGTTCGATCCCCAGTACCAAAAATAAAAATAAAAAATAAAAGAAACCAAAATCTTGGTCTCTGGGTTTTGGTTTAGATTTATCTTTAGAAAATGCTAGAAATAACTTAGAAAGTGGATAGCTTACTCCTGGTCGATGGAACTAAACAGATGCCAATGGGCACTGCTTGAGTGTCCCATCCCCCAGGAAGCCTCCCGAGGACCCTTGGCCCCTCTGTTTAATTCCAGCTCTGTAGATGCACCTCTGCCCACCTCCCTACTAAGGAAAACAGTCAGGTATTTCCAAACATGCCAGCAACGCCCCACCACCACCATCACGCCCACTCCTTACATCCCACCCCCAGGATCTGGGATTCCAGCACATTCCTTTTCACTTTCCCAGGACAGTAGATGTGCAAAACCCTTGTTAAGTAGGTGCAAACTTCACTGGAGCCCAGGAGATTAAGCTGTAGGAGTGCCCCACCCTGCAGCCCCTGACCTGCCTGATCCAAGAACAGAAGAAAAGCTCAAGCCCCTCCTTGGCCCCAGAGCTCTGTGAGCCAGGTGAACAAGAGGCACAGCAAGCAGTCCACATACAATGACTTCGACGAAGTTTGCCTAAACAGAATCCTGAAAATCCTGAATCCTGAATCCTTTGAAATGGCCAACAGGTGCCCTCAACAAGTACATCTCCTTTCAACATCTGTCAGATCAATTCTCTCAAACATTTTGTTTCCACTCCAAGTATTGTTTTTGGAGGAGAAAAAGCCCAGAAATCTTTCACAAGCTTCTCTGATCACTTCCTTTGCCCTACAATGGTATGGCATCAGGTGCCTATCACCCTAATGCAGCACACTCTCCTCTCACTTCCTGAGGGCACAGTGCGGACAGCCCACATGCCTGGGTAGCAGCCTGCCTTTCACAGTCCTGCTGGTCTATGTGCCAACCTCTAAGATGAAAGCAAAAGGGTACCCAAGGACAGAAGCACAAGCACTTTCAAGACTTAAAGGAAGCGGGTAACTGGACTGGTTTTTCTGATGGCTGACAGTTCAGATCCTCACATTCCACTCCCAGGTAAATCATGAAAGCAGTCAGGGTATCTTTTGACATGGTGCTCAAATGTCCCTGGCCTTTTGCAGGGCATAGACAGGTGGAGAGATAGCCTACATCCTGGGTGATACTACTGGCTACTAAACCAGCCCTGGGGTGCCTACCTCCAGGAAACTTGTTTATGTTTACACAATTTAAGCCACTCTTGGTCAGGTTTTATTGTAGCTACAGTCCAAAGCACTCCTACCCACATACTTCCGGGATAGTCAAATCCCTTGGGACAGTCAAATACAAGAGTGCAGGACATATTTACATGTGTACACACACACACACACACAGGCCTGGACTCCCCTTTCCTGGTCTCACCCAGAATCAGAGGCAACTCAAAAATCTGACTAATTTACCCATCAGCCAGGCCTTGTCCCCTACTTAACTCAGTCAGCTGAAGCTTCCAGGCCTCCTTGTTCCCTGTTGTCCAGCCACATCCCAGCACCTATGCAGCTATAGATGTCCCACCTGCCTGGCCCTCAGACATGCTTGATGACTCCTTTGCCTGTCCCTTCTTGTTTCCTCCCTGAGGTCCACTTCCTCTGCTCTTCCTGGTCCCCTGCACTCCTGGAATAGACCTAAGGAGGTCATCCTCAGCTTCACTCTCCTCCAGATCCCAAAGTGAACCTCATCTGACTCTCTTCCTACACTGGGACCCCCTTGCCCCTAGCCTGTGTGCCAGATTCCATCTCTCATTCCAATCTCATCCTCCAGCAGCAGCCTCCCTCTCCTCCCTCTTGTATCCCAACTTCTGCAGGCCCCAAGGGAAGAACAGGGTCAACGTATTAGTGTTCATGTGATTACAATGACCACTGCTGATCCCTTCCAGGAGACTCAGGTGATAAGAAAAGGTCTCACGGGGCCAGGGATTTAGCTCAATGGTTTCGCCGCCTGCTGCGCAAGCACAACAACCCGAGTTCAATCCCCGGTACCAAAAAAAAAAAAAGAAAAAGAAAAGGTCTCACATTTGCCAATTGTATCTGTTTCCTAGCAGCCTAGCTTCTGGAAAGGTGGTGAAGATTCACTGTTTTCTTGCTTTTTCCCTCACCCACCTACAGCCAGCTGGCTTCTGCTCCATCATTGCTCTATAGCCAAAGGCACAACCGACCTGTCACTGCCACCTCTGATGGGACTCAGGCTTCATGGGGCCATTTCTGCTGAACTCAACACCAGTGCCCTTGGCCACATGACCCTGTTTTGTTGCCCTTACAGCATCATCTGGAATTATCTCTTTTTCCAAGTTAATAAAACATGCATATCTGTGGTCTCCTCATCCTTGGGGCTAATGATATCTAAGTCACAGAATTGTTAAGGAGACTAAGGGTTAATACACATTCTGTAAGCAAGAAAAAAGGATGAACAATAAAACAAAACCATGGATGAATCTCAAAAACATAATGTTGAGTAAAAAAAGCCAGAAATGGTATATACAATATAATTCCATTTATGTGAAATCCTAGTGATCTATGGTGACAGAATCACAACAGTGCCTATCTACTGGATGGGGTGTGTGACTAGAAAGGGCATGAAGAAACTTTCAGAGGTGACAGAAATGTTCTTTATCTTAATGAAGTATTAGTTACACAGGCATCTAAATTGGTCAAAATTTATTGGATCATACACTAAAATTGGTGCATTTTATTTTCTGCAAATTATGGCTCCATACAGAAAGACAACAAGAAAGATGAACATACAGTCATGTACCACATACAAAATTTTCATCAAAGGTAGATCACATGTAACATGGTAGTCCCCTACAATGATGTCACCTAGTAATGACATAGCTGTCTGAGTTTGTGTAAGTACACACTACTCCAGTGTTCACATAATGACAAAATCACTTAATGAAGCATTTCTCTGAGGTTCCCCTGTGGTTAAGTGATGCATGACTGCATGTAAAAGGCTTAGACAGTGCCTGACATACAGTAGGTGTTTACCAAACACTAGTCATACTATTAGCTACTTGTGTATGACTCCTTGGTTAGAATATAAAGTCAACGACTAGGTCTGCCATGTTCTCTTGCAAATCCTCATTATCTAACATGTACATGAGCTGCATTTCAACAGATCAGTCTACATTATCTGAGTAAATGAGGGAATGGATTTCCTGTGACCACAACATTCCCCACACATTGCTCCCCAGGTGGCATGACCTCATGATTTTCCTGGGCCTTCTCTTGGCCTTGTTGTCCAGGGAGGACTCCCCCCGCTCATGTCCTAGACCTCTTCACTCCATTAATGTTCTCCCCAGCTTTCTCCTCAAAGAACTTTACATTCGTCCCTGTTAAATTTCACCTCACCAGATTCAACCTTTCACGCCAGGCTGACGACCAGGGTCTCCAGTCCACTGCAGAACTGCCTCACTTTACATTTCCCTCCATGTAGGAGAGAAGATCACCGATGAAGGTAAGAAAAAGAAAAGGCCCTTTGTGTTGGAGCTCACAGGTGGAAGACGATGAAATACAAGAATGATGTC